ATGGTGATCTTCATATAAGGATATAGTTAATAAAGGCTTATACATTTTCCCTTTAGTGTTTTTATCTCTGCAAGAAAATCCATGATTAACTTGAAATATTTCTTAGAAATTTGAATATCCTTTAGAAATTTGATCGCTTTAATCGATACAGGGTATACTTGATATTCTTGAAGTGTGTATTGAGAGAAGTATATTTTGATCCATAAATCGTAGAAGATACTTATTGATTTAATAATAAAAATGTCAGCCATACTTCAGAATAAAAATCGATAAATTATTTGCAAGAATTACGCAATATATAAAATTAATAATAATTTTATTTTATTGATTTTTATTCGTTTAACTATTCAAAGAATTATAAATACCATTAATATGTTCCAATGGAAATTATAAATTAATTTCTTTAATTAATTAAAATAATTATTTCGTAAAAGATATATCGAAGAAAATTAAATTAATAAAAAAAAAATGATACTATTGATTAAATTTGTAGCACTAATTTAACAAAAATTTGAATACAAAAAGGAAAATGAAAATGATTCTAAATTTTTAATCGATCTCCTTCAAATTATTTATATTATTTAACTTGAAATATTGGATTCTTTCTTTTTCATTTTCAACTAATTAACGGTTCATTAACTTTGAAAGATATAATCTCTCTTTTAGTGCAAACTTGGTGCAGGTTTTTTAAAGAAGTGGCTGCAATAGCATCTGTGTCTGCGGGGAAAGTTTTCTCCGGGCTTTGAATCGTTTGTCAAGTATACGGGTTTCTAAGGATCGTTAAAAACTAATTTCTACCTTGTTCTTAAAAAGCTCTTTGGATATGACACGACTAGTTGAGGATGAAAGAAGTAAAAACTTTAAAATCGAAATTCTAAACTTCAAGCGATATAATTTAGTTTCTTTTACAATAACTTTCTTCATTATCTTTTATTCTGATAACAACTTATTATATTTTAAATAGGATTTCTTGAATATAATTAGCATTTAGAGTATGTCAAAGTATGTTATTATGAATGATAATATTTTATATGCAAAAAAAATCGAAGCTCGTTGAACTTTGAATTTTGAATTTCGTCCAATCTTTGAATTTCAAATTTTCAATTTGGATTTCAAATATAAAATTTTGAACATTGAATTGTGAAGCTAGCCAAGTTTCTAAGACAGTCAAATTTTATAAAGATTTCCAATACTTTTGAATATCTTCAAATTTCATGGTTTTAAAAATTTATTTATATATTTATATATTTCTTTGGCATAATGCCAAACATTGTTACTAAGAATTTGAAATAAATACAGTTTTTTTTATAAAAGTTTCTAGTAGAATTCTCGCGAAATTGCGGGACGAAACATTGAACATCAGTGATACGAAATATTCGAAAGCAATTCTATCCAATTTTGTTTTCTTTCATTGAATAATTGAAATTTTTGTTAATTTAGATACTTTTATGAAGTATCTTTTTTAAATAAAATCTTATCAATAAAATGCATAAAATGCATTTTATATCATATTACATTATGAAGTTTAATTTCAAATTTTATAGGGAAAATTTTTATTTTAATTTTTCCGTTTTTTTTTTATTCCTTTTTGTCGCGTTTAATACACGTTCGATGTATTTAATATTCACTTTAATTTATACACAATAGTTTCATTTATTTAAATTAAAAAAATTGGGCAATTTCATTTAATTTTATTACTTTTTGAAATGATTTTTCAAAATTTTTAGCATTTTTCAATTTTCAATCTTATTTTCTATCAATTGTTTCGAATAAAAGAAACACGATACGTAGAATAGTATACATAGAACACATAAAAAAGTGTTAAAAACGAACATAACGTTTCAATTTTAATAACAAGCTAAAAGTTTTTTAAAAAACTATCGATAGGAACTAGTTTCATGTTCCAATGATTGATACCAATATACAATTAACGAATGTAAATTGCACTTTTTGCAAAATCGATATATATATATATATATTGATATCCATTTATCAAAACAATATCTGTAAGGAGTAATGGAACGAAACAATTTAATGCGAGAAAAAAAAGAAAAAAATCCTTTGAAAATAATAGATACACGCAGAAGTTTTGATTTGTTTAAGTTTTGAATTCCCTTATAAATAAATAGATTCTTCTTTGTCATCGGTTAAATTTCTAGAAAAATACTAAAAAATTTAAACGTAATTCAAAATCTATAATTCATAAATTAAATTATTGGAAAGGAATTGGTACTTTTTAATAGTAGACGAATTTCCAAAACCATAAAATCACGATTCGAATATCATTTAAAATCGTAATTTTTCTGTATAATTAATTTTTTCCTGGCGTGTGTACGACACAATTGATCGAATAACTCGTCTTTTGCAAAAATAACACGATTCGTTTCATTTCGTAATAAAAATCGATAAAAAGTTTTCCACGCACCACGTAATAAATTTCTATTTTCCCCCAAGTTTCAGTAAATGAGTACACGAATGAAACTGTAAGCCCCAAACGCTTGCAGGATTAAAAAGTGAAATTGCAGGTATATATGGTAACATTAATCGATAAAGTCCCCTTTCGCCTTTCTCGTTTAAATTGAAATTATAACCTTCGGTAAATTGAAGAGCGTGGTTATCATCTCGCGCCACGATACGCCATTTAATTTCCACCGCGCGCGAAACAAAACACTCTTCTTCCCTTTCCCTTCTACCACGATCGAGAAATAACGATTGAAGTAGCGGAATTATCGTGGCCAATTATCACGAATCGATGGCAACGAGACAAAGGAGTGCCGCGGCCTCTTCCGTTTCTCTCACATTCGAGAGAGAAACGAAACCAGAGAACCGTGATAAGGACCATTCAATTCTCAGCTTTTGGGAAATTTAAACGTATAAAATCCTTGATCGTATCAAATATTATGAAACTTTTTTCATTTCTTTGAATTTACAGCCTTGTGTAATTTATTTCTTTTCCCGTTTCTCAATTTATGGATTTGGAGAAAGTTTTTAATGTACAGCCATCCACGAAAGTTTCGTGTAAAAGTAAAATTATGTGAAATTTTTTTTGTATGAAGAATTAATGAGTAATAATCAGAAGATTAATTAATAACACGTGGATATTATAATTTTTGTTAGAATTTTTTTTTCTTAATTTAAAAAATGTTCATGTCAAATATATTTTGTTAGAGACAAAGTAGTCGTTAATTTTATTTCTCGTTTCATCGTGATTTTTTGTCTTATTCTCTTTGAATGTATTACACTGGAGTAAATATGGTCTGAAGATGTAGTAGATGTAGTAGTAGACGTAAACAGATTATTCTAATAAAATAACGAATGTATGAAAATCATACAATTACAAGATTCAGAATTCCTGCATATTGTGATTAACTCTTGTTGTCAGATCATTACTTTATTACTTTCATAAATTTCTTTTTTTCTTTAAATATTCTATCTTTTTATCATTTCTATTTTCATCGCCGAGAATCCAAACTGTAATAGTATTAAGTGTTAATTAAGCAAGAATCAATCATCCATTTAAACTTTCCAACTTGTGTCAGTAACCTGTACTTAATCAGTAATTAAAAAATCGATAGAGATACAATTAAGTAATTAAATCCATTTTTTCGTTGTTATTCCTCGTCACGAACGTAAACGAACAAATATAAAACTAACAATAATCGTACACGTGAAAATAAAACTTACAAAGAAGCTACGCGTTCACTATTTTTTTTTTTTTTTTTTTGTTAAATTACAAATTCCAACAAAACACGTATAACCAAAACTTCTATTTCTATGTTGTTAACATCCACCGTTACCATCATATATTTTCCCGACAAAAGCTACATAACAATTCTACCCTGTCCATCCCAAACATCAGGCATCCAATATCAAATTTCGATCCAATACGATTCAAAAACTCGCGAAAGAAAAATTCGTCGTCGCGTAATTTCAAAGCCTGGTTCAAACGAAACGAATTACACGCAATGATTCCAAGTGATCGAAGGCACCTTAAACGCGTCACCGCACAATAGAGACACGGATTGGTGAATCGGAGCACGTCGTTTCGCTAGTGATGGGATTAAACATACCTCAAGTACGTTTGAACATTGACAAACAAGATTCGTATATTTTCCAATCGAAATCGATACTTTCGAGTAGATTCGAGAATCCGTGAAAGAATAATTCATCGCTTCTCTATGAATATTTCCAGAAAAAAAATGTTTGAGAGTAGAATAGTAGTCTCGTTAAATATTTTTTTTTTCTTATTTTTTAATGAAACTATATTGTTAGTCAAGTATTATTTTTCGACACTTACGCGAATCTCGTTCAAGCTATTATTTGAATTCCAAGCTTCGTTTTAATTATATAAACATCTACTACGAAAAAATACACAATAGTTTATCAAGGTATTACAAATAATACCAGATGTAAGCTTGAGCCTATTTATCTAAACCTTGAACTCTTATTTGAAAAATTAAAGTTACCAGAAATATAATCGATTCCTGCTATATGAATTACTTGTCAAATATAAATGAAATATATATTGCATTTCCTTGTAATTTTTCAAAATTTCATAGTTCCATCGTCATATATAACTCATAACAGATTCTACCTAACGAATGATAATTAAATTTTGAGATTCGAAACATTTCAACACAATGAAAAAATCAAAACAATCATTCAACTAATAATAATCCGATTCTTAAGCGAATCTTTATACAAAAAATTCGATTTATAAGCGCCCAACACTTGAACTCAATCCTGTACAGTTCATCCACGAGCGTCCGAACGATTCCCGGATTTTACGATCGAATTGGCGCGGATGGCCCCCTCGTGGTGTGAAATATTTGCGTATACACAACGAGACATTGGTAGATCGGTGCCGATTTCGGCCAGATAGCCATCTATCCAAGCGAATGGCGTCGCGCTCGAGCGTGCCAGTTGTACGCGAGGTTGCGCTCGGTACACGAGGGAGGCGGGCTATAGTTGTTGTCGTTGCAATGTGGTCATTGTTTCAGTACCACCGGATATCCTGGACGACTCCACCAGCACGGATATGGAGGTGCGGGAGGGGAGCAACGTGACGTTGCGATGCGCCGCGACCGGCACCCCGAAGCCGAAGGTCACGTGGCGTCGCGAAGTTGCAGGCACCCAGGCAAACTCGCACGAAGGTATGTGGTGTTGGATTTGGAATTTTACTGATCTCCCTTCCTTGTAAATTTTTACGCCTTTAGTTATGCTCTTTTGTTACGATGTTGATATGATATTGATTTTTGCGGACCACAGGTTTGAAATATGCGCATATTTCATTCGTGATTCTTGATAAAATTTCAACTCCCTGGATATTTTTTTTGTCAAGAAAAAGAAATTATAAAAATGGAATGTGCATATGAAAAAGGAGATGCATATTCTTACGTAATGGTTAAGTTTGATATCTATCGAAGATGAAAATGTTCGATTCTACACTGTATTTTTTCGCAAGGAGTTATTCTTTCTTCCATTGTATCGCAATTTCGAATCCTTCATTTTGTGTGGTCGCAACAATATTAAGTAAATTTTAATCAAATCAGTTAGGTTTCTGACAATAGATTAAATGATTGTTCAAATCGCCTATTAAATATTTGTACATATCTTATCATAAAGATAAAAATTGATAATGCATCAAGAATCTTTATAATATTTGGTTTTCATTAAGTGTAAAACTTCATTTGAATTGTTCAAAAAGATTAAACTAATGAGAGAAAGGTAAATGATAAAAATTAGAAATTAAAACAATCATCAAACGTCAATAATAATAATAATATTTCATAGTCCTCGCATGGTTTTCATTAAATGAAGATATTCAGAAAATTAGGTCAATGGATTATTCGACCCAATTTGCCTTCTCCAATCTCGACGTAGCTTCTACTTGACCACGCTGCACCGACTGACCGTGTGTTTTTTACCTTTCGTATCTTCCTCCATTTATATCTGCTCTCCATCTACAGCCATTGTTACCCGACAATCGTTCTCGCCTCGTTCCACGTATATTGCCACTTTCCTCTTGCAGAGGAGCATACTTTGCCCAACCTTCTTGCAAATAAAGCTGTGACACGACCCGCTCGACCCGTCTCATCCTCCTCTCTGATTGCACCAGATCTTTATTAGCGAGGATAGACTAGCTACGTTTTGATAGCAATCTGGACGAGATCGTCCCTCGTGTTCGTTTCTTTGATATTTTTGCACGGTCACCAATCGTGCACGAGAGAGTTGATAACATATATATGCGTCAGAAATATACCAATTCTCTAAACTATTTCAAACAAATATAGAAAGTAATTATATTATATTAATATTTTAGAAAATTTGGGCAGTGCATGAGTGGACAATGAATAAAATGAATAATCTTATTACGATTGTATCTATAAAATAGTTAAAAATAAGTAATGTGAATTTGAATAATGTGGAGATTTATCAAAATTTTTTGTATATAAATATAAATATAAGATAACAATATTTAGATATTTTTTAAAAAACTATTAAATATTAGGAATTGGTATATTTTCAATATATAACGTTAGATGACGTTTTCAAAGAAAGAGATTACCAATAGAATTTTCGATTAATCTTTGAAAATAGGTAGTTCCATGTTACCATAATTTAAATCAATAAATCACTTTTCTTTTTATCTTTCGATAACAACCAGATAAATACAAGATTACTTTCTGTCTCAGAAGATTTGAACTTTTGTTTCAGATTCATTAAACTTTGATATTAGTTTTCTACTTTGTTAGACTTTGGGAAAGGAAAAAGAGAAAAATGAAAATTTGTATCGATTGAAATACAGAAACAATGCAATTCTATATATAATTATTGGAAATTTAAAAGAATCTAAAAGGAAATCCATTTTGAAGAATTTTCATCCAGTTTGAATAAAATTAATCTAATTAGATTACATAAAGATTCGCAATTTAACAAAGAGAGATAATCTAAAACTGGGGATCTAATAAATTAATAGAAGTTGATAGAATTAGTGAAAATATAAGATGAATTAAATAGAATTCAATAAATTTAATTACCAAACATTTGTTCCTAAGATGTCAAAATAGAAAATAATATTATTTTTATGTGAAATATAATTCGTGGAAATATTTATTTGAACTGAGAATAAATATACGTACAAATTAAATAAATATTTCACATAGAAATAATCTTGATTTGTTAAATTTCATTAAAACAAAACTATTATACACACATATTATTTTTCCATTATTATATATATATATACGTATAATAATTTTGTTTTAATAATCAAATCGTTTTGATTTTGCAAATTAGTACATAAGGACAAATATAATTCAATTTTGTTGATTGAATGTAATTACAATTGTACTTCTATTCAACAGAATCATTTAAGAAAAAAATTTTACTCGATTCTGCAAAATGAGTAGAAATAGATTAAAATGATCGATTCGAATTTAAAATTTAAAACATACGATTCAATTTGATATAAGGAGAGAATTTTAAGATGGATAGTGTAAAGAGTAATCAAAATTTATTTCATTAATCTCTTTTTCGCATTCGTCTGTTTATTATTTTTTAATTAATTTACCTCGCAATCTACTTATCTCGCAATGCTTAAAAAGTTAATGTAAATAAATTACATTAAATATCTAAACATATCTATTTGCTTTTATAATAATTTTGACTCTCTCCATTTCAGACGTATCATATGTTCGAATTTGAAACGTGATAAAATTTGTTTATATCTCTTTTTAATGCGTGGAAATAAAAGTCTCTCTTGATTAATTTTATCGAAAGATATTTTACAAAAATTTTAATATCGAGAAAATTTCACGAGAAAAATCATTTTTATTAAAAATTATTAAGAATTAAAATTTATATATCTCTGTAAAATAAATTTATATTCATTGTTAATTTTTAACAATTTCAATTATTACTTGTTTTTACGAATATCCAAACGAATTCAAAATTTAATTACAATTATTAAATAATTAGAGAAACTTTTTATTTTCTCTATCATCACTGTCAAAGATTAACATAATCGAGCATTATTCGTGTGTTCCACTGTTCATGAAATGTAATTGATTTTGTAGTAATACGTTTATTGATGTCGGGCGGACTTCTCTGTCGCATGCGCTAATGTAACAGGAATAACATTATTCAAAAATGATTTTATTTCATTTCGACGTTACCATTTGACACGTTATCCGTACAACTTTTCCATTTATTCACTTAAATCATTCTCTATCTTAGTTACGAACATCCGTCAAGAATTCCTAACGATCTGTCCAACGAGAATTCTAATTTACAACGGAACAAGTCACGAAAACGTCCGACGAATCTGTTAAAGGCGAAAATTGCTAATAAATTCCTAATAATAATCAGTCTGTGCCAGAATGAAGACAGACCGATGGAGATTCGATTAATTTTTCGATATCGTTTTGCCATTTTTAATCTTCAAACTGTCGTGCTTTTTCATTTATTAATCTCTTACTTCGCGTAGTTTTTTTTTTTTTTTACAAGCAAACGTGTTCTAAAACGAATCTAATTCTTATAAAAGAGTAATATCTTTAACCAATAATTTATACATTTTATATTGTTAGATCGAAATTTGTATTTTCATTTAAAATTTTCAATACTAATTTCACGAAAAAACGAGAACGAGAATCTAAATTGATCAATTAATCGCACAAGTATTAAATAGCAATCGATCAACAATCGAGTGTAAATAGAGCACACGTAGCATTCAAACACTTTGAACGGCTACGCATTTGTAACGTCACCCCCCATCAAAGTTATCCTTCAGCGCGGATAATTTAATCATCAATTTAACTCACTTCTATCCAAAGGATTAATTACCTCCTCAGAAGTGTGCCAATCAATTAACCGTCTCTATCGTGGGAACGAATCGTATCGATAGATCGAACGATTCATCATATTCGAGAATTCGAAAATCGATTCTTTCTTTGTTTTCGAATCTATTCTTTCCCATCAAGTAAAATCTTCCCTGAAAAAAAATTTCCCAACTATCAAGCGATCGTTTTACCCCCCCTCTCCCCCCTCTCCCTCTCCTTAATTACCATCTCCTCGTTCGAAGCACTCCTCTTCTTTGTCCCAATACGCCATTCCTCTTGTCCACTTCCTCCCTCTTTTCTCCCTCTCTCCTCCCCTCGAGCCATCCTGCACGACTGTTCAACCGTTTCGTGACTAATTGCACACGGAAGTGCAAGGGACGTTTCGAATTGTGCAGGTGCGTAAAGGAGAAGGTCTCTACTGCTAACCCTTTCTCACCTCGCCTCGCCACCCTCTTTTCTCGCCTTTCCATCCTCCTCGTCCTTCCAGCTTAGAATTGAGAACAGAGGCGACGACGACAATTGCAGCGCGTTTGTGGTTTCTCCTTTGAACGAAAGGAGCCGACAATTTTTGAGCCGCTCTCAAGCCAGATAAATGGTCAAGGTTCTCGTTAATTAAGACCCTCTGGTGAATGGATCTCGAAGAGAGGGTTGGACTATTTCTTTTTTTTTTTTTTTTTCGAGAGGACAGCTTCGAGAGGACGGTCTCCTCCAAGATCAAGAGGTGTAAGTGTTAAGTAAGAATTGAAACTCTTGAGGTTTATTTCTAGTGATTTTTTTTTTTTTTTCTAATGAAAAAGAAAGGCTGACAGTTTCTCGAGTTTGATAAGATTCAATAAATCGATAGTAACACATTATAAGCAAGTATATACTATTTTCTTTAAAGCGAGAGAATTTATTGATGCCTGTTATTATTATATCAATTAAATAGTTAGTAAAATTTTATTTAATTAAGAGATTATATAATTAAAGAGATGAATAACAAGATTTACTCGATTTCTCTATCTCATTTTTAAAAATTGATATTTTAACTTGAATTGATCCCCATTCATCATCGTTCGCCAGATCCGATCTACATCCGACTTCGACTCGAAATCTATCCAACTATTCCCTATAAGAATCGAATCAATCCAATACTGGAGCAACAGGATGTATCGAATTCATAGGTTTCAACATCAGAGAGGTGTGATGGCTCGTCGTACGAAAAGGGATTTCACAGGCAAGCCTCAAAGATACGAATGAAATTCCACTGATTTATTCACCGGATGAACCTTTTTATCGTCCACCAATAGGTTCTAAGGAATCGTTCCAAGCATTTGTCGCGTTTGCTTCGTTTTTTTTTTCTTTTTTCTTTTTATTCTTCTTATCCGCTTCTTCCTCGACATCTGTCGTTTCCTCACAATGGCGCACAATTCGATTCCATTAGGCGATAAATAGAGGGGAAAGTATAAAATATTCCATTGGCCGTGTACACGATTTCTCTCCTCTATTCTTCCTTTTCTTTTTTTTTTTTTTTTTTTTTTTATCCCTCCAGGCGTTGATTCTCCCTGGCGCGACCGACACACACGGGGGCAAGCTTAATGGCCATGGTTGATGAAAAGCAAAATCTTTTCCCCTGATGAAACTTCCCGTCGTTAATTTCAGAACAACTGGATGCTGTTCGTTTAATTAGCTCGAGGACAGCAAAGACAGACGCGTGAAATGAATTTTCAACGGAACGAATGCTCTTCTCAACAGGTGTTCAAAGGGATGTGCTTGCCTTTTTCGCCTCCTCTCTTTCTCTCCCGCGATTCCGATCGAATCAATTACCGGAAATAAATCCTTTCTTTTGAACTTCCCGATAGAATTTTCCGCTGTATTGACGAAACGTCTATAAGGATGATTTAAGAAGTTTTGTGTGTGTGTGTGTGTGTGTGATTTCACTCTGGATGATAAATCGTTTTACGGTTTATCTTCGATTTTGCGTTTCTAAGAATCGAATTGAGAATTTATATATTTTACGTTCGATTAATATCTTCTTTCTTTGCTTTTTTTTGAAGATAAATGATTGTTATCGTGCGAAAGTGAGAAATTGGAAAATTAGAAATTGGTCATTTAATAATTAATTGGAAATTGAGAGACTTGTAATGAAACTAGGCCCTATTCGATTTTGCGATTGAGAGGAATATATTTAAAAAATATCATATGAAAAATTGTTTGTATGGATATAGTAAAATATAATAAAATTTAATCAATTAATTATATTGTCCATGAAAAAACACTATATTATATGTATATAATATATGTTAAAATAAATTTCAATTCGTATTTTCTAGAAATTCGAAATCTATTAAGTTAATTTAAAGTTATATAATCAAAATAAAAAAAAATAATAATTATATTAAATAATTAATTTTTCACATAATTATATTAAATTCTAACAATTGCGTATCTTGGAATAATATAAATTTTGACTAAAATTTCTAATTTTATAAAAGGGAAAAGAAAGTTAAAATGAGAAGTTGTAAACAGTGAGAAAGTTTCTACCGTAAAAAAAAAAAAAAAAAAAAGAAAACTTTTAGATTATTTTTCTCTTTAAACTGTTAGTTGCTTCTTAAAGGAATTTTTATTTTCTATGTGAAATCCCCTATGTGAAATTTTCTTCGAATTATTAAACTTTTACAATAAAAGTTTGAAACTTTTAACGAGTTAATAATTGAAAAGTTCATCTTTTTCCATGAAAAGCAATAATAGTTTAACTCTCTATTAACAATCTGAATTTTTTAAGGCACATTGTTATTCTCTCAAAATTTTCCAAGAAATAAATTACTACTACTGTTTAACGTTGTTAAAAATACAACCTATCCGTTATTCTTAACAACAGAAAATGTTCATTATAAATTATAAATGCAATTTACATTTTATTCTTTTGTTTTAATCATTATTTCATATTACACGTCCGATTTTATTAGTACACATCACTGTAATTATATCATATCTTATCAAGTTATTCATTTACTTGAATATTACTATAATATATAGTAGCTAAAAAATAGTATCTTCATATTCTATTTATCGACTTGAACAAATTTCATTAAAATTATTCCTCACTCATGTAATCAAAATAATAAGATGAACAAAATTAAATATCTCGATTACTACATTCAACAATACTTTAACACTTTTATACTGAATACTCGTTGCTCTATCGAAATCCATCTGTAGAGAAAACATTGTACCATAATCAAAGTTCGTATTCAGTGTAGAAAGAATCACTTTATTCCTTAAATCAAGATGGTTAACACATGCAATTCTTCATTATTACTTTTTTTTTTATTCAATGTGTTTATTATCTACGCATTCTGAAACTTATCTTTTTTCTTTATCAGCCTATACATTCTTAGTACGCGAACTTCTACCGTTTCAGATCCGCGAATTACATACGCCATTGAAGTTCATAACGTCATAAAATTAGCATCCCCTTTCACGTGTTCCTGCCAGTATACTCGCTACTTTAATAAATCGTCGACTACGTGAAATTTCACGTGGCACACAGCAGGTTTCCTTAAAGCGGTTACATCACTTACACGCCCTTTCAAGCGATCTAATTAAATCCTTTAAGCAGGTTTTCCGTTTTTGTGTGTCACGTTCAACCGAGCCAAGTATATCGCATCCAGACTCCTCGTGATTCGAATATTTTCTACCGGATTACAACCGTTTACCAGCTTTTGGTGCACGGCAATGTTATTACACGTAAACATGGCCACTGATTAGGCAAACAATTGGTGAATTTTTTAACGATTTACGTGTTTCGTGTATCTAGAATACACTTGCTATTGAAAAGTATTTGAACCTTGCTTCAATTTTGATGTAAATTGATTTCAAAAATAAACATAAAAATGAAAAGATCATTTTATATGGGAAGGTACATAGATTGAAATACAGCTAAATAAGTAATTTTAATATAATTTAATAATAATTTTTATACGATTTACTGAAGCATCAAAAAAATTGGTTTTAAATATCTTTATGAAAAATAACTTTTTTTCTCTTTTATTAGAAGTTATTTAAGTTTCAAAAAATGTTATCCTAAACTCCGTCTCACTTCCAATTATATTAATCTCGCATATCTTATCCATTCGAGAGATAATTTTCTTCTTGACAATGAATATAAAAATAATAATATCAAGAGAAAATTAATTTCACATGAAAAATCAATATTCCACGAACGTGAGATAGAATTCCTAATGCTTGAAAAGAGTTCGCTTCCTTTACACGAAAAATCAACTAGCCAAAAAACGTCACAACGGATATACAAACGGGAGCAAAATCGACTACTTAATGCACTCGGTTTTCATGCGGTCGCATCACAGCCCAGCTCCATTCGAGGGTTGCAAACCTGGTCGAGCGAGATAGCGATTTTTCGAAAGTATCTCAGTTTTAAACGAGACCAGCCCCGCTTATATACCTAGCTCCAATAAAATGGAACACGCGCCGCTCTGTGTATTATACGTTTCCACACGTTTTGTTACAGTAGGCCAGGGCTCCGTGTTGAAGCTAACGCGTGTCACGCGTGCCCACATGGGACCGTATCTGTGCATAGCGTCAAACGGTGTGCCGCCAGCAGTGAGCAAGCGGATCGTCCTCAACGTTTACTGTACGTATCTTGAATATATATGCATATGTATTTTCAGTGGTGGCGCGCTTGTTTGTCGAGAACAACGTATATATATATATATATAAACAAATTATAAATCATGTGGAATTACTTTCTACGCTACTCATTGAAAATTTTGTGGTTGGATCTGGTAAAATCTGATACCTTTTAATTTTAAAAGAAAGGGTTTAAAGTTTGTTTCTCGCGGTTAATTTTTGTTGTTTAAGTGATAGACAAATGTCTCGTGCATGAATTAATTATTTTTGTATACAGTCAGTGTATAAAAGTGTTTGTACAGGTTAGGAAAATTCAATCAATAATTTATATCGTTGAAATCAATGATAATGATATCCTAAAGGACCTATTAATATTATTTTCAATCAAACAATATTTTAAGCTATAAAGAAATTTAATACTCTTTTTAATTATCCTGTTGTAGAAAATGTTTTTAGATGAAATATTTTCAAAAGATCTATCTTCCATAGAATTTTGTGACTCACTATATATTAGTACGTGAGAAAGTATATATTTCAATTTTTACAAAATACTGATTTATCAGATTTTGTTATACGGTTATAGAAATTATGTATTCAAAAATGATCATTATCCTATAACTAAAGAATAACCAAATCATTTACTCTATACTATATGAAGAATCGAGAGTCATAAATCACACGAAAATTATTTTAAGAAGTTCAAATATAAATTTAATAAAAATTGTCTAATAACCGTAACTAATCTAATTCTTTCTAACAATAAAAATTGTCAAAATCCATACTCAAATTAAAAATTTACCTTCGCATTTACCTAAGCCTATATCTAAAAATCCGCTGAAAATAAAGAGGAGAACGCTCGTATAATTTCAATAAAGAGAGAGAATTTAATCGTTTGTAAATCTTCGACTCGAAGAGCAGTTAATGGGTCACGAGCACGGCACAAAGGCAAACAACCGAAAGCGTTAACAATGCATTGTGCACGCACGTTGGAAAATGCAATTTAAGGTCTGGCTACGTGGTCGTGGTCTCCCCGTGGGGAGAGCCGTACCATAATGACGCCACTTGGGAGGCCGTGAATGGCAGATGCGAAGGACCATTGTTTCCACCGCTCAAGTAACGCCTTAAATATTTTCCGCCACCGGCGAATCTCTGCTGTCACGGCTTGTCGACCATCTTACCGGATTGATTAAAATATGAGGCCTTTGAAACGTCCGCTTTGAGCTGAAAATATTCCATCAGCCGGATCTGTAGTAAAATTCGCGTGCGCTAATTCTTTTCATTTTTCTCTTCCCCCCCCCCCCCCCTTTTTTTGATATTGACGAAACGAATTTTGCAATTTGATTGATTTCTGCTGGATAAATTGTAAATTGACCTTTTGGATTTTTTTTAACAATTGTGTGTCAAATGAAATTATACGATATTAAAAATCTTCTTTGATAATTGGAAATTATAATTTTATTTCATGTGGAATTTATTAGTTAATGCAAATTTTATAAGGGAATTATTGAGGATTTATAAAATTTAATTGTAATCTTTGTAGAAAGAGAATTTGCATTTTCTCTCAGTTTATATTATTTTTGGAGTAATGATTTGTTTTGAATTTTTCTTAAAAGTTCATACTGTCTTTGAAAAAATATATGGGATGAGTAACATAGAAAACGATGGATGGAATTAAAATAATCTATGATCGTAAAAAATGATGATGATCTAATGATATTTATTCTTATTTCTCATCAGCTTCTCACGAAATTTTCGTATGAATAAAAATAAAATGTAAAATGTTTAATTGAAGAAGAATCTCTGTTCAGTAATCCTAGTACAGTTCGAAAAATTGAAAAAATTTAGATAGTTATTGATAAATATTTGATACTTATAAAAAAAAAACATAAAAACTAACAATCTTATTAAAAATTGTATTATTAAATATTAAAATTTTAGTAGAAATATAAAAATTCACGAGGATTTTGAACACTTATTTCTGCCATATATTTCTATAATTAATTTTCAGTAAATTTGATGTCAATTCAAAATCACTTTGTATTACGTTTAATATTTAAGTACAAATCCATCACCACATAAATTCATTAATGCAACTCTCTCAAAATCTATTATATTCTCTATCAAACGTTTAGTCGACTGTACAAGCGAAGGAAGCAATTAACGGTAGAAAATTTTGATTTCATATGTAGATACAAGGTGCATGAAATATTAATGGAAATTCTGTTCGCAGTTCAGCCAATGGTATGGATTGAAAACCAGTTAGTTGGCGCTTATGAGGGTCAAACGCTCGTCCTAGAATGTCACAGCGAGGCTTATCCAACAGCAATCACTTATTGGACTAGGCCGTCTAACGAAACGATTACGAATGGTATGCAAATATTAAATTTTTCTTCTGAGATGACATGCTTTTATTTTTTTTTTTCTTTTTATTCAAATAACGAATAAGAAATTAAATTTTTAATATAGGTATATATTATTACATATATTAAAGTAATTCACAATTTTTCGAACGATACATTTTTTCAATGGTTCATCATTTTATAAGAATACCATCTATCTATTTTTCTGGAATAGAAATTTTTGAATGCAATCTTTTTATAACAATTTATTAGTAGTTATTGAATTCAAATTATATTTTTGTCATAAATTTCTTAAAAGGCTCATAATAGAAATCTAATTATGAGATCTATCATTCGCAAGAAGGAATACTTTTTAATAAAAAGAATTTTAATCTGACAATTAAAAGTTCCAAATAATCATAAATATTATTCCCCGCTTCTGAAAAAGGAAACAAAAATACTCACATCTCTCAAGATATAAAACGTTAAACCAATCATCAACGAGAAAATATTTTTTATACTTCAAAAAAACAGAATTTTCCTCGAAAACGAATTTTCCCAAATTTTTACCTCAAATATCTTCGAAAGACGGGATTTAGCAAACTTTACTACACTGCTAAGTAACGCTAACGCGGTTCGCTTAATTATTTCAATCTAACGTAATTGTCTTGCCTTTAAAGCCTAATATCCTTTCGTGATAATTGGCGAAGAGTGAGGAGGAGGAGGGATGTTGAAGGGGCACGCACGTGAAACAATGGAGCGCGTGCGTGCCGCTTTATCCCCTTCGAGTTAATTGTTAACGCGTTGAAAATTAATAACACGTCTCGTCGTCCCTCTCGCGTGTATCTTAATTTCCTTCTTTCTTTGTTACCGAATCACGGCCATCTTTAATCGCACATTCTTATTTCTGAATTAATTGATACGTCGACTCCGGTCCGTGAGAAAATACGCGTTGCGTGACAGAAACTCGTTAAACTCGTACGGATTGAGCGGAACGAAACAAAGAAAAGGGGATTAAAAAAAAAAAGAAAAAAGAAGAGAGAGAGAGAGAGGGAGGGAAAAAAGGAAGAAAAGTGACACAGCAGCCCAGGGTGAAATCGCCCTGGCCCGATGATCGTTTTCCTTGGTTACGGAAAAGCTTTTGCGGAAACGGTTAATCCTTTGTCAGTTCAGGCGTGTTTGGAAGTTGATCGCGGTGTCTGGATTACGTGGCATGCAGTAAAAATAACAGAGAGAAACAGAGGGATTTGTTATTGGGACAAAGGACAATATTTAACAAGTCGAAATATGATATTTTCTCACTGTTTTATATTCTCTTGATGGAAAAATAACGATGGAATTACGATTCCGACGATTACGAATAATTTTCTGTGTGTAAATTCTTTATGCGAAAAAATGCGGCAAGTAAATATGGGGAAAATAGCTAAATAAATTCCTACGATATTTTTCTTTGCAAAAACTCTCGACTTCGTCGATAATAAAAGAAGACTTCAAATATCAGCCATACAATCAGTGCCATACACAGACTGTCGTAACGTAGAATGTTTTCTATATTGAAAAAGTTACGATTTGAATGATTTCCTATTCAGAATGTATATAGAAATAGATAGTTAAGCTCTTAAATTAAGAATGAAGAGTCATCGAGAGAAATTTTTATCGCCATAATATTTAAAAGTTAATTTTTTTTATTCATTCCAACCACGTATTCCCGCAAAGCATAATAAAACTTCATTTTCGTTATGTCTCCACGCGTCACGTCTGGCTAGAAAAAAATATTAATATTGTTCAAAAAATATACGGGGATGAATGCTCGAATATATGTAGAAAAAGTATACATTAGAATACCAAGCAAGGAAAATATGCTGATAAGCAAACGCGTATGACGTATCCGCGTTCTCAGAACATTGAACGAATTTCAACATTCGTGAAATTTAGAAAATGGCAGCCATGTAAAAGCATGGTATATCCAACTCACGTAATGTTGTAACAGCGAGAGATAAAAATTTTTTATTCTTTCGTATATTTTTGTCTTCAGAATATGTGTGTTTTTATAAAACGTAAAATTGAAAGAAACAATATTTTTTTTTTTTCATTCTCATATTACATATTACAGTTAATCCCTCGAAGATTATAAATCGAATTAAATCGATTTCGATTATTCCAAATTAAATCAATCTTTTTACGCGTTAAATGAATTATACCGAATTCTTCAAATATAATGGAGAATAATAAAATAGAAATTACGTATTTTGTTATCGATTTTTATAATATTTAATAATAGTCTGTTGGATTATATATATTTTTAAATATATACTCGATTTTCTTATACAGAATTATATTATATCTAATAGAAAGTCACGAAATTACATATATCTCAATATATGAGAAAAAAAAATAAAATATATATCATTATTTATATCATCATGATATTACATGTAATTTTTGTATATTATTTTATTTTTGTCATAATCTTTTTTCGCTTAAATCTTACAGAAAAAGGCGCCATATTCAAATAGTGAAATTGATCAATCACATTTACAACACAACTTCTTAAGCGTATAAGTCTGATTTAAGAAAAATCTTGTGTCTTGTGTACGAATCAGAAAAAATTCCTTTTTATTGCATAACTTACAATCCTTCGCTTTTCCACATATTTCTAGCAACCAGTCTCGTAGCCAGATGATATCGATTACGCCACGGAATAAAATAACTAAAATTAATCTAGTTCTTTTTATGTCATTCAACACTCATTACTCGAATAGATCACATTCTTATCGTTGTCGTCTCGTAGAAATGAAACGAATTAGGTTTTTAACGGACGAGCAATTACACCACCACGGGATTAATAGCGGAACTCACGAGTGATGAGTCTTATCAAGCACTTTTTCATTGCATTCTTCGTACGAACAACGTGGGTGGAGATTGAACGAGATTTTCAATTACGAAGAACGATTGTTCGTGAGAATACGTTTTTTCTTAGGAAAAAATGTTATTAGACTAGTGCACTGGTTTTCTCTATAAAATTTTGATGATTCTGATAATTTTATAGAGGATACTCTGAGGTTATAAATAACGATAGACGGTGGACGATGAGAATTTCATTCTTCTCTTTTATATATATACAAGTTGATATTTTTTTAAACGTATTGTTTTCAGATAAAATTGTGTCAATTTGTTTTGTACAAAAGAGAATAGAAATACGTATCGATTTCATTTCAGGAGAAAACTTTTCAAATATCTCGATTTTCAATGTATAAACATGCAACATCAAATCAAATGTCATTCCAAATAATTTAATGTTTCTATTTGAAATATTTATCTATCCTCGATCGTTTCAGATTTATTATTTATTATTTATTTGAAAACAGTTAAACGTGAATCATCTTGTATATTCGTATATTCTTTTATAATGAAAATAATTTTTGAATTATTTTTTCAGAGTTAATTTTTCACTTCTTTATTTAATTATTTTTCAAATATGATTCAAAATAACAAAATCTCTCTTTATTTCCGTTTGTAGATAATTATAAGGTTGAGACAATTCCAAAGGGATACGAGATCACTATGAAGCTTACTATAAAATCCGTACAACCTCAAGATTTTGGATCGTATCGATGTGTCGCGAGAAACTCATTAGGCGAAATGGACGGGAAAATCAAACTGTACAGTAAGTAAATCGAATTCTATTATTTATTATTCAAGATTCGATATATAAATATTTCCATTGGAAATATTTTTTTCATTTTCATCAAAAATTCTCTATGATTTTTATGAATCATTGATACCGAACAACATCGAACCAAATATTAATAATTGATATCGATTAAAATTATTTCCATATTTCCATTAAAAAAATTTTTAATGTGACTTTCACTTTATACGAACTCTCCAATTCCGTCAACATCGATCAACCGTTCATCATAGCATTAAAATTGCAATCTCATCGCACATCTCATTTGAATAATAGAATTAGGTTAATGGGTATAAAAATAAGAGAATGCAACTTCGTTAACCTAATTTAAATCAAGATTCTAGTCAACACTATTATCAAAAATTGTCTAAAATGTTATCAACCACGTATGTTGTGTAACATGATAATAATTAGAACCGAAAAGGAGAAAAGAATTAAAAAGAACGTTACTATCGATAATAATATATTATTCATTTTCTTCTCCATTCTCTCTTTTTCCTATACTTCACTTCCATTCAAAGTCTCTTTCGCATGCGCGTGACATGATCTACATTACGCTTAAAAAAACTGATCCGAGCAAAGAACAAAAATTTTCAAAAAATTTTCCATCCGTACTAATTAATATAATTAGTTATATAGTCGTCGGATATGTAACATTTTCATTTCTATGATAATCCTCTTGTTATTTTTTGTCGAAGAAGGAAACGAGACAATTTAAGAGGATATCTAAAGAAATTATTTTTATAATGGTTCATTCAACGGTAGCAATTGCACAGCAATTTCATAACTGCGCAACTTTTATCAGTTGGCGAGATCCTCTCGTTATCGTAACTTTCGTTAATTACACGGCTATGTAGTAACTACTCGATGATATCGAATCGAGGGTGCAAGAGAAAAGGTCGAGAGGGTTGAGGAACGAGGCCCTAGTATTAAAAGACCTTAAATTTCGTCGATCAATTCAGGCTGGCAACGATATTTTCGTGCCAGTCAATTAATTCATCCTAATAAACGCTACTCTACTTTGCTAATTTACCAGTTACTTCAAACTCTAAGCTTCGCACGGTGAAACATTTAAAAACTCGGGAATGCTCGTTATAGATCAATTCATCTGTTGGAAAGAACGAATTAAAATTGTTTGAATAATTTATCAGCGTCGATCGATTCACTCGATCAATTTGTGAAATAGTAGAAAGTATAAGATGGGTCATACTTTATGATAAAAATGATATATATTTGCCAATTTTCAGATTTTTTAAATTGTTTAGGAAACTAATTATAAAAAATAAGTTTATCTTCCTATTGATTAACTACTTTTTTAATATTATAAATATATTTTATGGATGCTTATTTGCAAATTTATGAACTACAATAGAGTTAAATCATTAATTTCATGTGAATAAAAACTGGGTGAAATTGAACAACTTTCATATTGGAACGCAAAATTTGTTACAACAAGACCAAGTAGGAATGTACGTTTATATGAACGCTTTTTTATCGATTTCGCGTGCTAAATCCATTCCGGAAGCCGTCTCCGCATGCTACGATACAGCTTGTACAGGTAACATAATCGAACCATTGGGAGTCGTTATTAGGATTCGCGATATTCAATTAGTACAACTAATGTGGAATTACAGGGATACCTCTGGCACCGTTTTAAAGTTTTCACAAACCGCCATATTGCGATAGTTAATTATATCAGAATTCGTCTATCGTTGTAGACTAAGTTTCATTGCGATAATTAAACATGAAATATGTCGTGTAACTACTTAATATTATGATTTGAATGGTTTTATCGAAGAATCAGTTGTAGAGATTGAAATGAAAAATAATTATAGCCACTATATATCGTTTTAATCTTATTTTAATTGTAATAATCGTAAATATATGTCGATTTTTCACTAAGAAGAAATTATTTTTTCCCCTGTTTCAGATAAAATGAAACAAAAAAAAAAAAAAATTCTAGAAGAAAATTTTGTATTCTTTAACAATATTCAGTACTCTATGATGTGTTTTCTTTATTCAAGTTAGCAAAAGTTTTATGTGTTTTATAGAGATCTAGAATCAGATCTAATTTATTTTCCCTAACAAGGATTTCAAGAAAACGATAAAAACATTTTTTAACTAAAAAGGATATAATATAATATCTGCCCAATTACTAGATAAATAAAATATACTTAGAAATTTCTATTCTAGTAATTCGAGAGATAAAAAACTAAATAGATTGACTAAATATTTTTAAAATAATTATTAATTAAAAATTATTAGATAAACTTATTAAATTCGTAATTAAAATTTATATAAAACATTTTGAAGAAATCGATATAACTAATGTAATCTAATTAATATAGCCAATTTCCAAATAAAAATCTAATTCGATTCGAAAAATATTCTAAAGAGTACCCATTAAACCAAATTTATTAGGAATTTAATTAATTGTAATATAAATTTCGTTAATTTCTTAGCGTAAAAAAATATAAAATAAGACTTTCGTGTTTCTCGCCATTTACCTAACTCCTTCTTCCTCATCTTCCTTTTTTTTTTCTCGCCATGTTATTAACGATTTTCGTTTCGTTCTATGCGAAAAAACTTCTTCGTTACACGCCAGGCGAAAAATTTAATACGCTAAATAACGTTACGTGTTGAAGATAATGGACAAACTTTCTTCTGTTTTGCAACTTGTTAATTATCGTGACGGTTCTTTCAACCGCTTTGAAAAGTAATTTAACCGGTGAGACTTGAATTAATTAAACAAACATACGCGTCCAAGTGAGCTGTTTAAACGTTATTTAACTGGACAAAACGGTTAAGCTGTATGTTAATCTCTCTGGTGCAAACTTATACGATATACTAATTAGAAACTTGTATGATCACAAAGAAACAATGGATCTTATTCAATCGTTTCTCATATTCGATGCCTTAAAATTATAATATTATGTAAATATTAATATCAGAGATCATTTAATCCTTTTATATATTTTTCATTTATTTTATATTGTTTTAATTTCATTCGATGTCTTAAAATTATAATATTATGTAAATATTAATATCAGAGATCATTTAATCCTTTTATATATTTTTCATTTATTTTATATTGTTTTAATTTCATTTATTTTTTTTTTAAATTTATGATACAGTTAAGATAATCCACGAATATCGATAATTTCAGAGATCCTAATTTAATTCTTTTTTAAATTGCTCCTTTCTTTTATATTATTTACGATTTTATCTTTTTAAATCTCTTTATTATAATTTAACACAATAAAATAAAACATGAAATACAATTACAAATATATTTATAAGAAAATACTTATTTCAAACTCAATTAATTTTACTAATTAATTAGTTTGTCATAAAATATTTCTTTATGTGATACTTCGCTATATATATTGCTACTGTTTCGTTAAATATATATTCTTTTATATATAGATACATACAGATTAAGAAGACTTTTTCTATTTATATTCTCTATATATATTTTTTGCTCTAAATTGAACAATTAAGATAAATTCACGAGATTATGTTTCTGTCATATGTTACTCTTGAAACTATGATAAAGTAAAGATAAATAAAAAATATATATATATATATAATTGTAACATGAAAGAGATTTTTTAATAAAAAAAAATGATCAATATTATACATGAATAATATCGAAAATCGAAGCAAAATAAAAAAAAATATGGATATAAATCTCTCTACATGTACATAGCGAAATTCGTTGATTGGTTACATAGTTCTCATCAATTTTTACAAATTGGCAGAATTTCCTAGTGAAATTTTATTTTTGAATGGAAACGAGCAAATCAAACAGAAAATAGAATACGAAACTCGAGCTAAACTAAATGGACAAAAATAAACAAATTTGAAGTTAACAATAAATAAAACTAAAGAAGAAATTTTGCAGTATATACGAATTTTATCACAATGAAATGAATGTATATAATATAATCTTAGTTATAATCAAAGATACATGTACTAAATTGATAAAAAAGAAAGATTCATAACTCTTGTGATAAGTAGTATCTGGTAAATGAAAAAAAAAATATCCTTTATTATTAACAATGAAAATATTAATGAAAATATTTTTAAAGTTATAAACAATTTTTTGTCAAAGCAAGTAATGTTTAAAGAATTTTTAAACGAATATGTAATTCTAATGAAGATGTCAAGCGCGTGTAAAGAAACGAAAGGAGGACATGTAAAGAAATCTTTTGTAATCGGGAAAAGAAGAAATAATAAGACTGTTGTTTTTACATGGCGCGTCAGTTCTCAAAATCATCCTTTTCAACCAAAACAAAAAAATTATTTACAACATTGAAAATGTTGATTTTTAAGACTTTTTTTCTTTATTTAATAATTTTATTTATCCTAAAAGTTTTTTTCATCTGTATGTATTTCGTATATATAAATGTATAAAACTATCGCACTAAATCGCACGTATTAAGTTATTTTCCTATATGCTCATCATTCAAATCATTATATCTTGGAACTTGTCAAGTTTTTACCTTTTTTAAAGTACTCCCTTTCAGTCACGAGTTCGCGTGAAAAATGAAAAATCAATAAAAATGAACTTATCGTAGCTTTTCTCCTGTAAACTTCATAATATATTCTATAACTTTACTTATTTAAATCTTTCGCTTTTAAACTTCAATTTTTAACATTTTATACATTTTACTCTTATTTCATTCATCGAGTTAATTCTTCTATTCATAGCACAAATTAGCTCATTTTAACAAGAAAATTGCATCAATATTTCTTTTTTTTTCTCTTCTTTTTATTTTTGTTATTGCAAATATTTACATGCTTCTCAAAGAAGTTGAGAAGTATCCTGAAGAGAAACATTCTGTTGCAAAGTTGCTTCTCGTTAGCTAATGACGTTAGTATCGTAATTTGCAAAGGGAAAGAGGAGGAAAAAAGAAAAAAAGACAGAGAGAAAACATACTGGAATCGATGAAGAATTTCAGATAGCTTTAAAT